AATTGAAGAGGGTCCACAAATAATATTTGAAGAAGTATTTGTAAATATTGAACATAATTATATATATGAACTCATATTTTTTTTATACCTTTATAAGAACACAATTTCTAAAGTATCCGTGTTTAAAAATAATAAATAAAATAAAAAAATAAGAAGACAATAACAATAGAAGAAAACCACAACACTTTCAATGAAATAACATATGAAGCACATTTGACTGTCCACAGAATGGGAGTGTATAGAAATTTGAATAGGAGGGGACTGTTAAGCTGTTGCAAGCTAGGGGCAATGTTAATGCTCAATAGTAATTGGCCATCATCTTTTACAATTTTCATCTTGGTATTTGCGTGTTAAACATCGAGCATAACATCAATTAGCCAAATGTATGGTATCTTTTTATATACGAGAAAATCTAAAGCTGCAGCTGTATATGTATGTATAAGCATACACTTGGTAACTTTCTATTTTTATTCGTTCGGGTTCAACGACAACTGACGCTGCACTTTTACAAAAGCAAAAAAAAAAAAAAAAATTGTAACAAAACAGACATTACAACACAGACGCCCATTGCCCATAGCACACTTAAGTCTTTTGGCTTTTGGATTTGCTTCAGTCAAGGTTAGAGCTTCAGTCTGGACCGTTGCAGCAGCTATTGTTATTGTTGTTGGTATAGCGGTTCATTATGTCAAAGTGATTTAATAAACAAGTTGGGCGCCAAACATCAACATCCAAGGAGTGCTGTGTGGCAACAGTTGCCAACGTCGGCAATATTTATATTTGTGTTAAAAGGCCAGCAAATGAGTCTCTGTCGCTGTCCATCAGCACAGCTCAGAGCAGGGCCAAAGCACCTCAAGTCTCGATGTTGCCTACTTCCATAATACTACGTATGTTAGCAGAATAACAGTTAAAAAGTTATGCAAATATGCAACAATTTTCGTGCACGACTTAAGTGATAGCTTCATTTTACTATTTACTTCACAGGTATGTGACGAATGCTACTCAAAAAGTTCTTGTAATAAAGAAATTTTTCGGAAGCAGCTAGACTACTGAGTTTGTAGATTTAATAAAAAAGTTGACACGTAGAATGAATAATGGACTTGTAAGTTTTTTTTTAAATACATATGTACAAATTAAATTATTAAAATTAATACAGGAACGAATAAGAATATATTTTTTAAATATATAATTTTTGCAAAAGTCTTTTAATATAAACAAGTAGGCATAGCCAACTATAAATTTTAGATGAAACAAGTAAGAAAGCTCTAGTCGAGACTGCTCGACTACGAGATCCCCTGAACCCTTGGAGCAATAGATATTTCAATAATTTTTCGCGTCTTTCAGCTTACACAAGAAACACGCACACACACACACACGGACAGACGGACAGACAGACGGACAGGGCCAAATCAACTCAGCTCGTCACCCTGATCAAGAATATATATACTTTGTGGGGTCTGCCACGCCTCCTTCTCCCTGTTACATACATTTCAACAAAACCATTATACCCTGATTTCCAATTGAAAATGGGTTCAGGGTATAAAAATATGTATGTGCTGGTGTGATTCGAACTCACGTTTTCACAAACTAAAGCACATGCTCAACAACAATCAACTTAACGATTCCTCTGCAGCTGAGAATTTAGGCACAATTAAATTAAATAATTAAATTCAACAGAATGCACGCATTTCAATGTGTGTGCACATGTATACAAAATGTGCATACGCTGCTTCCACGTGCTGTGCACCATACGTTTTACATTAAAATTTTTGTAAAATGCCACGTATATCGCAGATTGCCTATAATTAATATAAACTAACCTTAAATTTAAATTATTTTGTAAGACAAAATATAACTTAATTCCAAATTCTATAAAATATCATCATCATTTTCTGATTGTACGAGATACGATTTAGTAACAAACTTTTATTGGATAGACAGATCGTCAGATCGTCATCCTGATGAAGAATTTATCTACTTTAGAGGAGATCTACTAAGTCTACGGTCAGTTCAAAAAATAAAAAAATAAAATGAAATAATATAAAAAAACATTATTTCCAGAATCCTCAATATATTCAAAATGTCTGAAAACACCAATATAACTAAGTTTTAAAGTTTGTGAATTAAATAAATTTTAGATTTTTCCAGTTGAAATAGTTCTCGAATAGTTTTTCACACCACAATTTCATTGCTTGTCTGTCATTGCGCACAATTTTTCCTTTTCACATTTGTCAATTTATCATCAGCGAGCTCCTTTATGTGACTTTATTTGACTTAAGCTCATCATATGAATGCACTCGCACTTTTTGATTAATTAATCGGACTTTCACTTGAGTCCAATATCGTTATCAGTCGCATTAATTATAGTGCACTATGCTGATTTTGCTGACATGTCTCTAACATCAGTTTGCTTTCGACTCTCATTAGTTCGATTAAAGTCTGAAAATAGCCTTTTCCAAATTGCAAAATATGCAAAATTTGAAATTTTACAACATACATAACATAACAAATGCAGCATCCCTCAAAACCCATTAATAAACATTTAAATGATGTTGCAAACGCCAGTTTTAACTTCAACTTCAACTTCAACTTCAACTTTAGCTTTAACATCGACTTCAGCTGGAATTTCAGTTTTCATAATCAGCTACCAGCTGACATTAAATGTCAAAATAAATGCGTTATCATGTCGTCTGCGGCTGTTGCATTGTTTGCTGCGACTGAAACGATTTACGGAGCTTTTGAAATTTGCCAATTCGAAAACAAAAAATTTGGCTCTTGGATAATGTTGTGCAGTGCGACACGTTCGCACCTTGAGAATTTCCCACTTGTTCCTAACTGAAACTGAAATACGTGCCAAGAAAATCAAGAAACGAGCATAAATGGAAACATATATCTAAACGAATATCTTAATAGAGACTTATTTAAATGTAACGACCATCAAAGGCGATTTCTGCATAATTTCTGGGTCTTCCGCCAATTTGGGTAACTGGGTCGACAACAACCGATGCTGATTGATTTATAGTAAAATATTTGGTATGTTTCAATTATCTTTTGAACGAAAAGCAAACATTTTTGCATTTGTAAGCCATTTTTTAATAATTCATTAGAAATTCTTTGAAGCGCCGTGAAAGTTGGTTGCCCAAAAAAGAGTTTGTCGCTTAAGTCTTTTGTTTTCATTTTGATTTTATTTTGACTTTTCGCTTTTTGGTCAAAGCACTTTGACGTCTTGCTGTTTATGGCTGTGCGTATGTATGTGTTTGTGTACGTGGTTTCGTTTATATTGTTGTTTTTATGCATATT